GAAAAATACTTTACTTGAAGAATTTGAAAGAAGATGTAATAAGAAGGTATGTAACATGTTCAAGATTGGAGGAATCATAATTTTTTTATTGGTTACACTTACAATTACGAACTGCATGAATATAAGACAAAATACAAAAAAAAAATGGTAAATAAAACATTAGAATTCATGATAAATAATTAATTTTAAATKATTTTTTTTTTTGAAACCCAAAAATATACACGAAGAAACCTTAAGATCGATAAATAAGGATATCATTATCATGTCAAAAAAAATGGAAATAGTTTATCAATATGTGAAATATTCGAACCTATCCTTAAGCGAAAAGAATTTCTGGATGACAGTTACAACAAAATTTAGTACTTTATATGAGGCAGCAAAAAAGTTTTTCTCTAAGAGCCAACTTCCAACAATATCTAATGTTTATTCTAATACTTAATAATATAACATCAGTTAGTTTTAAACAATTATTTCAGAAGAAATGAACCAGCGCTAATTAAAATCAGCCAATGAAATAACACAATTAGATACATTGAATATTATATTATATTTATAATTATTATTTATATTATTTAAATCATTTTTTTTTTAAATTTATAAATCAATTTAAACCATATGAATAGGTATACAACATTAAACATTTTACATAAACACAAAGTTAATGTAAAGAATTTAGTCTATGACTGAAGGCTAATAAAAAAAAAAAATATAAAGGATTTTTTCATTTTAAATAATTTTCTATATTTCATTGTATAACATTTTATGCAACTTTTAATTTTAATAATTTTCTATAAGTACTCTACTTAGCTACAAAGTATATAATATTAATCATTATTACATTTTATTTTAAATTTGTATAAGTTTGTTTTGGCCGAAAAGGGAATTGAAATATTTTAAGCTTGATCGAAAAGGGAAAGGTAGGTAGGTATGTTTTTGGTCGAAAAGTTAATTTTCTTAGGATTGCCGTGACTGGTGGTCTTTTTTTATACTTTATTGTTAGTTGACAATCCAAAACGTGTGATTAAATTAATTATTTGTGTTATAATCTTTTGTAAAATTATTATATGTGTGTTTTCCCCCGTCAATAATTACTTTTTATCCGTTATCTGCACAGGTGGAGGTGGGCCCTYAGAGAAAAACTAATTGTTGTGCTACGTTATATAAAATACTACTACATCCTTTTGTCATAGCCATATGATGTTTGTGAATTACTCAAATCTCGTAAAATCTGTTATAAGTTGGCCGGGTGCCACCGCTGCGTCACTCCGCAGGTTCCCGATACGCTTCAAAACGTTTTTTTGACTTGACATTCTTGCAACATTTTTCAACTATTTTGTTACCACATTTATATCTCGAAATTCGTGTTTTCTGATTTAACTYAATTATATCGTAAAAACAATTTTAAGTAATCTCAACACTGTGATATTACGCTTAAACTCTTTAAATAMATTTTTTGATTTTAACATTTTAAATCCAACATTGTTTGTTTTTTGGTCATAATAATACATATTCATTTAAGAATAGTTCATTAATATAGGTTATGCGTCAATATGAAGACTGTAAAAAAAGACGTGTTTATGTTTATACACAGTGAAAGATAAATTTGCGAAACACTAGACAAATTTGTGTCACAACTTTTTAGGCATATTCAAATAGTTACATTATTAAATAAGATATAAAAATTTTTTTTAACACATATGAAATGTATTTTAAATACAATCTATAAATAGAGTATTTATGTATCTATTATCTAACTAGGCTAAGATAAAACTTAAACTGTTATATTGTAGCAGTGCAGCGTATAAAGTTATAATATGTTTATAGGTACTTAAGTTTTGCTAAAATGGAAATCGATAAGAAGCAGACTGTATAGATAAAACCACGTTCATGATGATGTATATAAATATATAAAATAATTTAAAATTTAATTTCTTCAAATATATATATATATACTAAGCTAAAAGTTTTGAAATATCATTTTTAAAAACCGAAAATTCAAAAATACCAATAAGTGGAAAAAGTTAACGTTTAAAATTAATGTGTTTATTATGGACAGTAATCCACTAAGGTATTCACGTTGCCATGTTGAATAAATTAAATCAACACATTATTAGTTACTTATTATARTATTAGTTTTTTTTTTTTCATAAGAAATATACAATCTGTACCCCGAGGCACAATAAGAATATGGGCTAATTTACAATGACATGAATGGGTTGTTGGAAGAAGCCACCCAKTAGTGACATTTCCTATTTTTTTTTTTTAGTATAGTCTTATAATATTATAAATATTAAATTTTACTTCATATAATATTTTATACAATCCACGTCATTATATTTACAATTTACTATAGTTAATACAGTTATGTTTATTGCTTATAGATATTAGTTTGAGATAGTTCATTATAATATACCTATACTAAAGATTTACTTAAACATTTTTATATTTTTGCCCGATCTTAAAATACAATTTCAAGAACATTCTAAATCAGAGATCTTGAAATCCTTTAGTTTCCAGCATTATTATTATTATACTTTAATGGCTTGTAGCAATACATATAAATGTTTTTTTTACAACTTCTTCGCGAAATAAAACAGTTAAAATAAATGTTTATGTAATTAAATTTAAAATAGTTTAATTTTTTTATTATTTACAGCATCTTAATAATKTTTATTAAAATGATTTAAAACTAAAATAATAATAGTGATTTATTTTGCTTTTTGATAGATTACAATTAAAATAATTTCCTTTCAAATGTCGAAAACACTTTTGAATGATTAGCGTTATTTATTTATTAAAAAATAACCAATAATAAAACAACTATAGTTATCTTCATAACTATTAATATATTATAGATTTTAAAAATCTATTATTTTTATAATGTTTAAAGAAAAATATAAACTATATACAAAAAATAATCTATTTCTAACGACCTGAATGATTTTTCTATGTTTAGCAAACATTTCTTGACACACCTTTGTAGTTAATTTTTTTTTTGTATAGTTTACCTTCTTCAATAACTAAAATAATTTGTTGATCTTCTGGCGGAATAAGATAAAATTAGAACTACCTATAAACTTAAAGTTTTAGAGATACGCACAAGGCATCTACCGTCTACCACATATTATAGTACTTGTCTATTATTTACCAGTTTGCCACATGACTAAAACCTATAATTAAATTTTTAAATAATATCCACGACGTACTGATAAATGATGTCACAATTTTTTAGAATGATATATWTTTTTTTCTCCGTTCAAAAAATAAGGACTGGGTGAGAACTATTTATCACAATACTGAAGAATATCTTATGTATCATCTAAATCACTATAAGTATTCAATTGAAACCACTGTATAAATATTAGGTCTGTAATAATGTTATGTATATGTGTGGTATACTAGTCGTAAAATAAATAATCGTTTCAATAATTCCGATACAGGTTGCTTAGAAAATATTGGCTGTCAACTGTCAACGACAGATTTGAAATCATCTTGCATGTGTGTAAGTGAACGAGAAATATTATACTACCTAGTGGCTAGTAATTTATTTAAAAAAGAAAATATACGATATCGTCGATATCAATTTTAATATTATAATTTAAATATTACTGTTTACTGAGTATTGATTTTTCGAATAAATATAATAATTCTATAATAATTATAGATAAACCTATATATAGACTATATACAGAGCTATAGCAATAAAATGGTATGCTGAGTAATTATTGAAACGTCATTGAAAGCGTGAGTCCCTGAAACAATGATTTTTATTTTTTACAATTTTGTAAAGTATGTATATGATAATATCCTTTTTTATGTTTGAAAACGTCGATAAATTATATTTATAATATAGCATAATAGTTCATGACATAAACATAATAACATATTATAAATGTAAATGCATTTTTGAAGTTCAATCAAGAATAGTGAATATGTGTTATGCAATCTATTTAGTTACTCTGTACAGAGAATTGTAACGCATTACTCTTTTATTGCTCCTTCTCTTTGAACTTTAAACATTTTACAGTATTGCGATTTCAAGGGTACATATTTGCAAGTGTTCCTATATTATATAATAATTATACAATGTACACGTCATATGCTATTATTTATATGTGCGAGTGATTAAAAAAAAACAGCCATCGTCGGATAGACTAGGTACGCAATAATCGTTTTTGGAGAGAACTCGAGTGTCCGGTCTGAAATGGGGGGAAAAAATTCCGTCTACACGATGGACGATCGGTATGCTGTAGCATCCGCAAGCGTCGGAAATTGAACCTTTTTGTTTTTTTTCCGTCGTCGTCGTCATGGACCTACCACCAACGTAATACCATTGTGCACACTATGACTATATTATATACATCACGTTCAATCGTACAACAATGATATTTTATACTCAGCGGTATTATAAGTCTTAACTAAATTTTTTTTTTTATCATTACAATCATAGACGTTGTATGCACTGCAGTGTGGCGTCATTAAAAATGTTTTGTTTGATGTACTCATGTTTTTATATACAGGCCGTACAAAGTACAAACCCCATCTATAGAATTTATCTATTTTTTAGGTCAACCACTTTGAGCCAAATCACAATAATATTGGATTGTAAATGTGCAAATGTATATACATTGCGGACCAAATGTCAACACGCTGGTTGTGTGCAGATCATAATATAATATAGTTTCGATGTGTCACGAGCTCTATACATATATGATACATAAATCGGATCAAACGCGATATATGTATAGAGTGGCGGTTCTATTAATTGGAACGAGTTAAACGCGCGTCGTGGCTCTTGACCCATATATACAATCGGGTGCACACAAACATAAGGCGGTGGCGGTGGCGGTGGCGGCCACGGCTCATCTCTCTAGGGCGCGCGCAGACTCCCTAGCTCAGCCGTCGCCGCCGTTAGCGTCCGGCGTTGGCGCACAACGAAGACGGCGGCGGTGGCAGCGCTCGGCCGCTTTTCATACGGCTTTAGTGTGTGTGGTGCGCGCGTGTGTGTATAACGTTGGTGCCGTAATCACCGTCTCCGTCGCTCGTTTATATAAATAGAGGCGTCCCGACGTCCGTGGTTGTCGTCGTCGTCGTCGTCGTCATCGTCATCGCCGATCGCTTGCTGCTTGGCTATCTGGCGCGCGCGAACGTCTTCCGTAACGCACGGCGGCGGCCCGGTCGTTTTATTATTAACACGCGGCGTTCGACTCGCGTATAATATTATTCGCGTTACCGTCACGTCGGCATCACAACAATATAATATTATAATATATACAGACGCGTTGCGCGTCGTTTCACGTACTTGATTATAATTTTAGTACAGACTAAATAAAATAACAATAATATACCTACGTAGTCTCGCGCGCCATCGCACTATACGACGGTGTGCATACGAATAACACCGTTACGGAAACGCTGCGACCGCCGATAACGTTCGCCGGGGACTTACGCGACCGGTGTAATTGCAGTATATCATCATCGTTCGCGCCTTCCCGTCAACGCACCTGACTCGTCGCGTACCCACTCACCACCCACGCGGCACCCGTATGCACGCGCGTTGTCTGGCATTCTCGAGCAGTGATAGTGGTCCGTCGTCGCGGTAGTATACTACTATAGACAACGAAATCGCGTTTATTATTGAGTCTATATCGCCGAATAATACGATCGAGTCAACGCCACTGTGGTTGTGGACTAGGAATACTCTCAGGGTCGACGTATTTAGGTGGAAAACTTCAAGCGAACTTGCAGACGGCGATCGGAACACGCAGCGATCGCGTCGTCGTCGTAACGATATATGGAGACGAGCCGACGTCACGCGACGACTGTGCGCAGAGACGGCGATGGTGACGGTGCAGTGATCGAGACGACGTCGAAGACCACGCCGGCCACGACGACCACCAACACCATCACCACGTCGGCGGCGGCGGTGGCGGTGACTGCGCGGTACTGGTGACTGCGACAACGTACCCCATCGTACGGCGACGACGACTGCTGTAAAGGTTCGTCCGGTGCAGTCTCACGCGGCGGTCATAAAGGCGTTAAATGTCATCGGTTCCGGCGGAGCGGGTTTCGGAATTATGTTGCCGCTGGCGGTCGTCGTGGGACAACGTAGTAGTGGTCCGGCGCTGTGTAAGTAAAACGCAACGGAATTATATGTTATTATTATTATTATTATATCGTAGGTATGCGCCGTGTATAAATAAATCAATGCCAAAAATGTTTGCCAAAACGAAAAAATAAAGAGAACGAGAGCTGAAACATTGTTTGGCGTCGGGGGCCCGGCCAATATGTCTCGGCTCGCGTATATTGTATATAATATATAATAATATTATATTGTATACACGTATTAGTGAATTACACATTATACAGCTTGGGTACGAAATAAGTAACTATTAGTCCTATAAGGCTATAATTCCTCTCCGTGACTACCACATTACTATGATGTTCGGTATTATTCGCCGAGAAGCGTATATTGTTATGTAATTATATTGTCGATTTGATGGATGAACGCAACGCTGCAGTCCGCTATAACGGAAACAATTAACAAACAAATAGAATATTGTTTACATTGAAATGTCTATAGATCAGCTATTATATGCCTTGGAATAGTAATGGGTTAAACAGATCGGTACACTGTCGGTTCGAAGTGAAAAAAAAAATAATAAAGTCTCTCTGTGCCTCGTACTGTATATAATATACTTCTCGCGCGTGTGTATGTGCGCGCGTATGTGACGTGTGACGTGTGTATGAGATGAGGGTCATTCGTCATCGCTAGCCAGTGTGCGACACCGAAAAGATTGCTTTCTCGGAAACCGCACTCGTTTCTTCGCCCGAACTTTTCCGTCACCACAGCTTAATGCCTAGTGCTTATACGTATCGACGTCTAAATTTAGTATGGGTAGTAGATTGTTGGTTAGGTGGCAGTTGGAGCAATTATTAATAAGGACATAAATTACAAACATGGACTAATAAGTAATAAATAATAATGATACAATACTACAATAATGTGTCGTCGGTGCAATATATTATTATTATATCACAGTGTAATAATATCGTCGTTTTCAAGCGTTCGTTAAAACACGTGGTCGAATAGAATATTATAAACGATCTGGCCAGAATAATCGTCATTCCTATTCCAAATTTCCATTTTTAGATGAGGATTAGTCGAGTTCAAGGTCGAACCCTGCATATCATAGACGCAATAATAGTTTTAATAATTTTGAACATACTCTTTGCCTGCATCATCAGTCTGCTTTCGAGTAATACATTACAATGTTTAATTCCTTATTCAAATTTTACTTTAATGCTCTTTAACTGTTTAAAATTTGTCCTGAAATTAATGAGTCATTCGATATTTAAAATTGCTAAATTGTTTAAATTACCGAATCACTTGTAACAAATTGGTCGTTGGCCAATTTTTAACACGTCGCATTGAGGAAAACGACCGTTCACATGTAGCTAAACCTAAAGGAATAATTGTTATTKCAGTTTGTAATAACTTTATAAGTTAGGGCCGTTACACGTGCTTTTCATCAATTTGTCAAATGTGTTGTAAAGATCAAAATTGCTATATAAATAAATTAACCACGACTATTATTTCTGCTTTTCATTGATATTAATCTTTATAGTTTGAAGATTTGTTCAAACAATTTGTTAAAATGTAATGAGGCAAATATTTTTATTTTTTTTTATCTTTGTTAAAAATGTTTCAAYTTTTTAAAATCATCAACTTAATGCTCGTAATACCATAATTAAATTTAACAAAATATACAATTGTACACAAGTATTCGTCAAACTTTATCCATCGACTTGGAATCCCAAAAGAATCCATATTAATATTACTACTCAATATTTTTTTGAATGTTGAAGAGTTAAAAATACGCATGGCATATTCATGGTGGAGATCAAATGGAGTGTTGACTTTAAAACAATAAAAAATATTTTTAATCAAGATATTWATTTATTGTTTTTGATAGAAAGATAGAATGTAATATACCTACTATCAGATGAAGAAAATCAAAACCATATTTTTTTWAATATAATACATAGGTGTAATTAGTATAGCCAGTAGGGTATATATAATAGTAAGCCATAATATCTTGTTTACAAAACTTCCAGTGCTTAGATACCCATTAAAGTCCATATAGATAGATCACATTATTGTATTATTTGAACAGTATTAATAATAGTATAAAAATGGGTCTTTCTATTTGAAAATATATTATATATTTGATTAAAAATTCATGTTTGTAGTAAATTGAATGCCAATTTTAAGTCTATAACAAAAATCACGTAARAACAGTAAAAAACAACATAACTTTTGTATAGAACTTCGAAGGTTAAACACATATGTCGCGATTAGTTAAAGGTTTTCATAAAAATAACTCTATTTTAGATACTGACCGGAGCGAGCAATTTTGCTTTTTTGTGTCTGTCATCACGTTTTGGGCCAGTAAAAGTGCTTTGATTTTCGGGTTCAGTACCTCGTTCGATCAGAAAGTGAATCTAGTTGGTACTTTGGGGGGAGTTAAAAGTAAAAAATTACAATTTCTTTCTAGATAATCGGGATAAACAAACTAAAAATTAAGGAAAAACGGGAAATTGTTATTATAATTTAATAATTTAATAATTATAATATATAATTATTTATTTTAATCGATTTTGGTTTGTGATGTAAATAAAACGAATGACCATAGATACACGCAATTTTCACGTGATGTTTATATAAGTATATTCTATCCACCATGTAATTTTCAAAAAATTTTGATTTAAGTGGAACTATTTATAGGCATATGCAATTTTCGATCATTATTAGTTTTTTTAAATTAATACCGATAAAAATGTATTTGTTGGATAGAAAAGCTTGAACATTTAATACAAGGCTCCTAACATATTGTAACAATAGCAGTTGAAAAATAAAATAAATAATATTTTGATAAGTATTATATAATAATAAGTAATAATAATCTATAAAATATCATAGACAGATAAACCGTCTCCGCTCAGAATCGTTTTTCGTATACAATGATATTATATCATTGGATTCAAATTTAATTCTATCCATTACAGTAACTCACTTGTAACCTACTAYACAACAGAGYGATATCCAGTATATCTACTTTTCCACATTTTTGTTTTATTGAAGTTCATATATAAGAGTGATAATAGTGATTGGTGTTTGCAGCTGCCTATAGAGATTACGGTAGTTCGCTTTTATCAATTGTGGAGATCGTAAACTGCGGCAAAATTTACCTTTTTCTAAAAGTCGATATGTAAGCTACGGCAAAAAAAATTAAGATTATACAATCTGCGTCAAAACCGATAAGATACATCATACAAACTGCGGCAATTTATTTTATGTTCGTATATCGTTAAATTAATTATGTGATGTTTCGTCTTGAGTACAAATTTGTAAGGTAAATCCAAATGTATTTTTAAGTTTTAAAGAAACATATTGGTATTATCGATTCCTTTACTTTTGATTATACTAGTTAGTACCTAYCTTCAAGTGTTAGATGTTACTTAATAAAAGTAGTTAAAAGTTTTGTATATTTTATTCAACRTCATGGAATTTTCAACAATGTTTAGCCAGAATGGCAAAGTATTAACAGTGTTAAACGATTTTAAATTCAAATTTAAATATGAATCAAAATTTATAAATTAATAATAATAATATTTTTTTAATTTTAAAATTGATTTTTTGATTATACGATTTAAAAAAATATTTTTTAACAATAACATACTTTTCAATATTTAAAAATTGGTTTTTCTTTATATTTAAGCCTTATACTCTAAGAGATACTTATAGCTGTCATAACACGTAATATGTATTATACCTAATTAAACGATAAACGTGTATATAGATTATCGTAACGATATGTATACGTAGTATATATAGAAAGTATATAAAATACATTTCCGCAGTTTGTATGATGTATCTTATCGGTTTTGTCGCAGATTGTATAATCTTAATTTTTTTTTTGCCGCAGCTTACACATCAACTTTTAGAAAAAGGTAAATTTTGCCGCAGTTTACATGCAGCCATCAATTGATGAAGTCATTATATAATAATGTAATAAATTTATTGCAATAAAAACAATTTTTTACATAAGATCGTGGCATCAGTGTATCACTTTCATAATCCATTTATTTTCCATTAAGTGTAGCTTTTCACACAAATTAAAAATATATTTGATTTGTGGACCAAACAGATAACACAAAAACRTCAGGTTTCAAAAAATATGGTGACCTGATAAAGAATTTTTTATTCCTATAAATGTTCTTAAGACAAATTGTAGACGCTAATGGCCCAGTAACATAATAATCCTAATTAAAAATTACACCACTGAAAACTTTGAAGTGATTAAACTAAAATGTTTGTAAATTGGTACATATGCGTATAATGGAACACAGGGAGTGAGACGAATGGTGGTCAGTAGTATTTTTTTGTCTTTCAACAGATTTAATTAAAACTCGGTTGCAGGTACACCCTTTTTTATTTTTGAAAGCATAAATKAATTATGTACCAATATGTTTATAAAAGATGTATCTTTTAGACATTTYAGTGGGTATATATAGTCCATTATCAGTTATATMATGCTTTTTCTTAAATCTAACCAAACCAAACCAGTAGTTAGTTTTCAAATTATTACACGTCATTATATAAAAATTTTAAACTTGAAATTATTATAAAATCTAGGTATATTCTATACGTATTAATGTAATTGTTGAGCTAGATTTAAAATTAAAAAAATAAGCTAAAAAAATAAAAATAAAATCYACGTATTATTGAAATAAAAACATTATTATTCATTATTATAATCACCAGACTTACTTTCATTTATGTTCTGGCATTTTATTTATATATTAAAGAYATATCAGTAGTGTTGCATACAGCGCCAGATATGCAATATGCTAAAATACGTAGGTATCAGCCTTCCAATTTCTAGGATTTTAATTAGCCCAAAAAAATTAGCGGTCCATTTTTCAATAAWATGTACTAATTTTTACTATTATTCCTATTTCATTCTTAAGAATTCAGGGTATTCAAAAACATTTGGCTACATTGTATTATTAAGACGCCCCAAATTTCGCGTGACCCATCGAATTAAACATGCTTCTCGTTCACG